TTTCAAATCTTCTCTAGTAGTAAGTACAGAAAATTTTTGATCAAAGTACTCTGTTAAACTATTTTTCTTTATGAAGGTTTCCGCCAATTGGATTACCCGATTGAATTGTGTCAATATGTATGAGGAATGACACGCAACTCCCAGCTTAGCATTTGGATTGTCCAGAGAATATTTTTTAAATTCCTCAATAATGTCATTGGCATTATCATGAGAAATTTTTAATTCTGATTCCATTCCAATCATTACAGACATCAATATAATCAAAATAAATCTATTGTTCTGAAAGCGTGCTCAACGTCTTCCTCTTCTTTAGAGGAGTCCAAAAATATATAATATTGCCAGTAAATTATTATTATAAAACGAGAAAAACGTCACTTCCGTTGAAAGTTCCAGAAGCTTCGAAAACAAAGAGGTTACTATAGAGATGATCAGTGAAGAATGAATGTTGAAAAGTTCAAAATTACTAGAATTATAATATTTTAAAAACTATGAATGTAAGAGTGTGAAATTTGCAGGATAATTGACATTTCATATCTTCTAAGAGATGATCAAACATTTTTTTTAGAAATAACCAGCCGGATGCCTGTGACAACCCGATGAAAATATACCGGAAGTATGCAATATCTCCTTAAATATTGGGCCAAAAATCCCGAAATTTAGAAAGTGTACTCACGTAATAGGTGCGAATAAGTATCCTTGTTAATTTCCGATTAATCGGTTTCAATGTTCTGAAAATCGGATCTGATAATTCACAATTTCCAAAAACGGATAACTTCGAGAAGAATGGTCCAATTTTTTTAAACTTGATAAATTCTTAATCCTTGCGATAAACCATTTTCAAAAATATATAACACTGTGAACAAAAATAAGAATTTCAACAAAGAACTCAATTTGAAAACAGAGCAAAAATTTCTGCATCCATTCACTCAGCTCAGTTTAGCGCCCTCTCGAGCAATCTAACAGCCAGACTGTCGTCAAATTTGGAAGAGTGACTAAGGATGACATGGGAAAGAGATTCTGCAAAGAAAAAAAGTAGTACCCAAATTTGCCGGTAGGGATGGACTTGACACTGTTGTAGTGAAACAGCTAAGAATTTGCATAACGCACTGGTAACACCTCAAAATCCAAATTCACAATGACATGGTCGACAGCAGTGCTACCTAATTTGGCTTAAAAGATAAGGACAAAAGTCCGAAGTGCATTCTGAACGTCAGCAGAGTTCAACATGCATCTTCCGTTACCTCAGCATGTGTTGCTTGTGAAACTTTATTATCTTAACCAATCGAGTGCACTGGACGCTCTTCATGAGTTTAGAACCCATAAAAACCTGCACAGAGGTCCTCTATCAATTAATGCATTGAAAAACTTGATAAAAAAATTTGAAGAGACAGGATCCTTAGCAGTTTGGCCTGGTAGAGAGTGGAAACCGCTGTCTGCACAGACAGTTAGTGATGTTGTGAGGATGGACGATGCATGGATAATTCTCTGGGGAGATGAGGCCCATTTTTACCTAAATGGGGATGTGAACACTCAAAATTGTCGCATTTGGTCTTCAGAACACCCAAGGAGGTTGTGTAAATCCCATTGCATTCACCAAAACTCACTGTTTGGTGATTTAGAGCAGATTTCATCATTGGACCATTCTTTTTTGAGAACATCACTTGAACAGAACTGTTACTAAGGAAAGGTATTGCAATATGCTGACTAGTTTTGTCATTCCACAACTTCAGAAATGACAATACCTGGATGAGACAATCTTTATGCAGGATGGAACACCACCACATATTGGTCTCATGGTGTGGAATGTGTTGTGCCAGCACTTCACTGAAGAAAGGGTCATCAGTTGCTTTTTTCACTTGCATGGTTGCCTCGCTCCCTGGATCTAACCCCATGTGACTTTTTCCTATAGGTATACTTAAAGTCCAAGGTCTATCTTGGTGGTGTCCCAAACTTGATGACCTTGAAGGACAACATTTCTCGAACTGTGATGAACATTTCTGTGGACATGTTATGTTTGACCATAGAGAACACAATGTTCAGGATGCAACGTGTTGTCCAGCAGGACAGTGGTCACATTGAAGGAGGGAGAAGGTTATTTTCTGATTAATTAAACTTTCGTTATTGCACTGAAACCTCTGTCTGATTATTAATTCGTGTGTTTGTTAATTGCAGCTGGGTTTTATGCAAATTCTTAGCTGTTTCGCTACAACAGCACCAAATCCATCCCTACTGGTGAATTTGGCTACTACTTTTTCCTTCCCGGAATCTCTTTCCCATGTCGTCCTTAGTCGCCAAATTTGGGAGAGTTACAGTCCGGCTGTTAGATTGCTCTACAGATGTCTCTCAGTACCATCAGTTTAAAAAGAACACCCTGTACTTAATATTTTATATTCCATAAAATATTTTTCTGCAAACATAGCAATATATAAACAAAAAAATAAATTTACAACATACAGACACATTGCATAATTAATTAATATACAGATGAAAATTATAAGCATTTACAAAAAGAAATGCTACATAACTGTAATGAAGTATTGATCACATAAAGTTATGCTTTGAAAAAATACTAACACTATGTGGAAAGCCACATAATGTTATCATCATATTATTTCTGAAAGAAATGATTTCTATCAAATTTAAGAATCATGGAAGAAGTTATAGTAATAATTGGATTGTTTTTTATAATCACGTCTTCAGTTTTAATAAAAATATAACATTTAGATAATTACCAAATAGATTCTAGAAATAATGTACTTATATGCTATATATTTTATATATTAATTGCATTTACTTACTTATGGATTTATGTATGTGAAATATTTGGGAAGAACTTTTATTACATTTCTGAAATTTATTTGGCAAAATTGGCATTACTGTTACATAATAACTTCCTTTATTCACATTTGGGAATTCTTTAAAAATCATTTTATTGCTTCTGCTTTTTGAATTCTCTGCTATTAATATTTCATTTTTGATAACATTGTCCTGATTTTCGGATTTAGATATTAAACACACTTCATACTGAGACACGTTCCAAACTTCTGCTGCTTTTTGAATTTTAATCCTGACAACATTTTCATTGAGACTTCCTAAATTTATCATTATAGTAGTAGTATTTATTTTGCAAGGATTTACTGTATTCTGCAAGTAATCTGAAAATAAATTAATAAATAAATATTAAATTAATAATTGTTATTGTAAAAAACATAAATAGGCATAGAAATATTTTCCATTTTAATTTAACGCTACTTCAAAATTTAAACTTTTTAATGCTTTATTGGAATACAGTATCTTTCAAATTTTTATATAAGAATCTTTTCATATAAAAATTTTAAAAAGTGATACAATAAAATATTAAATAATCTATTAAAAATTTTTAAATGAATATAATTTATAGTTTTAAATATACACATGTAAAGTAAATGATGTTACTATAAACTGGATGAATGCAAGGCATTTAAGTCAAGCATATGTGTTAAAGTACAACAAGATTTTGAGTCTAAATACATTAATTAAAAAAATTGTTTATTTATTGATTACACATTACACTATTCAAAAAATGTTCTCTTTATAGTACTTGTTTCATAGTTTCAATTTTATTTATTCTATTAATATTGAAATATGGATCTATCATCATATCTTTTAGTTTTCACACTCTGCAACATTTTCTTTTTCTCCTATATCAATTACTAATTTTTCCGGTGTTAGTCCTTGAGTTTTGTTTATGTCAATGAGAATATGATCAAAATTGGAAATTGTCTTCTTGTGCAATCCACATCATTAAATTTTTCTATATCTGGAGATAAAATTGCCTTCTTGTCAATATTGTCTCCCATTCTCGTTGCTTCAGTTTTCCAATTGCAACACGAATATATTTCTCAATAGTTGTTGGCTTGTATCTTGCCTTATAGATGTAGTTAATTGAAACATTTCTTTGCAGTATACTAAAAGAAGTTTGTCCTCAAGAAGAAAATTTGTCTTTAGAGTTTGCAAAGAGAGGTATATCTTTCACAAAAGACGACTGCTAGATACCTCTAAGAAGTAAATGCCTGGTCATTTCCTTTGCTTCACAGCATCTGTTGTGAATTTTTTACATTAGTCTCAACCTGATCATAGGATATTCATAGAAAATCACGTAGTGAATAGTACTTAATGCAACCTGAAAGTTCTGAAGTTACTCTCCAACTAATTCTTTAAAAGAACAAATTTGAATTCTTAGAAAACTGTGAATTATTTTCTCATTCACTTTGATAAATGCAGCACTGGTGGACCAGTACTTGAATGCTATCATTTCAGTTTTTTTTTTGCTTACTGATTTTACTATGGCCTTAATTAGTAGGCCTTTCCAATGCCTGCTTTTCAAATTTCAGCACAAAATCAGTTTCACTACTACTTGATTTTACTTTTTTCAGTTTGTTTTTTGCTTCAATGGCTCTTGTCTTAGCAGATTTTTTCATTTTAGACATCTTTATTTTTTAAAAACAAAGCAAAAACAGAATAATTAAACAAATAAAAGAGTATCAAACAATTTACCTTTAGACCAAGTTGATTCCTTGATATAAACTTTTTTGAAAGAGTATTGCGATAGATAAACACTGAAACCAAAATACAGAAAAATAATTTCTTTCTTCCCCCCCAAAAAAATAGAAAATGAACATGTTGCAAAAGTAATTCACTAATAAGAATTTTCAGAGAATGTGGACGAAATGGAAGCACATGTAAAAGGAATGAAAGCAAACTATTCAAGCGTGCTTTTTTACCTTAAATAACACGGCACATGTATAAAAATGCCATCTATTGGCTTAAGAATTAAGTCTTTATTATATTTTATTTAACCACTTGACTGATTTCTATCGAAAACTATACAATTCATCTCATATATACAAATAAGTTATTCTGAAAATTTCATGAATTTTGGTTGCTTAATTCTTTATCTATTGCATCAGGCAGGGATTTCTGAAATTAAGGAAAAATTTGAATTAATTTCATATTTGCATTTAACACTAGACATATGGTAAATAATCTTTTATAAATCAGAATAAATTTGGAGTATTTTGATAATTAATTAAGTGACACTTCTGATATTAAAAATGTCAATCAATCTTGTTTTTCTTCTTTAGTTCAATTAATTAGTCTAATTAGTTGCTACATAAATCTTCATACTTATATATTATTTAGCCAAATTTGATTTTCATCCAATCCAAAAACTGATTTTGATCCAAGATGATAATCCAGATATGGCTGACTTCTAGAATACTAATTATTTGCTTTATTAGTGCCTTTGTATAGTTTAGTGCAGAGGTTCTCAGAAAACATTTTTTCATGATCATACCTGTGCTTTTCTGCATTTACAATATTACAAGATTAAAAAAAAAAATGAATGAAATGAGTAATCTATGTAAAATAAAATTCAATTGAAAACTATCCAAAATGGTGAATATTTTGACAATAGTAAGCAAAATGTTACAAAATTGACCCCCTGGATTGAAGAATTGCACCAAACTGACTTAGTGACTGCACAAAATTTCCTCAGTAACCATATTCAATAATCCCTCCTGACCGCCATCTGATCTTCACTTCCAGAACTATTAATTTAGATATAATCATACTGGTTACTAATGGCAATGACTATGAATATAATTTATAGTTTTAAATATACACATGTAAAGTAAATGATGTTACTATAAACTGGATGAATGCAAGGCATTTAAGTCAAGCATATGTGTTAAAGTACAACAAGATTTTGAGTCTAAATACATGAATTTAAAAAATTGTTTATTTATTGATTACACATTACACTATTCAAAAAATGTTCTCTTTATAGTACTTGTTTCATAGTTTCAATTTTATTTATTCTATTAATATTGAAATATGGATCTATCATCATATCTTTTAGTTTTCACACTCTGCAACATTTTCTTTTTCTCCTATATCAATTACTAATTTTTCCGGTGTTAGTCCTTGAGTTTTGTTTATGTCAATGAGAATATGATCAAAATTGGAAATTGTCTTCTTGTGCAATCCACATCATTAAATTTTTCTATATCTGGAGATAAAATTGCCTTCTTGTCAATATTGTCTCCCATTCTCGTTGCTTCAGTTTTCCAATTGCAACACGAATATATTTCTCAATAGTTGTTGGCTTGTATCTTGCCTTATAGATGTAGTTAATTGAAACATTTCTTTGCAGTATACTAAAAGAAGTTTGTCCTCAAGAAGAAAATTTGTCTTTAGAGTTTGCAAAGAGAGGTATATCTTTCACAAAAGAAGACTGCTAGATACCTCCAAAGAAGTAAATGCCTGGTCATTTTCCTTTGCTTCACAGCATCTGTTGTGAATTTTTTACATTAGTCTCAACCTGATCATAGGATATTCATAGAAAATCACGTAGTGAATAGTACTTAATGCAACCTGAAAGTTCTGACGTTACTCTCCAACTAATTCTTTAAAAGAACAAATTTGAATTCTTAGAAAACTGTGAATTATTTTCTCATTCACTTTGATAAATGCAGCACTGGTGGACCAGTAATTGAATGCTATCATTTCCTAGAGTTTTTTTTTTTGCTTACTGATTTTACTATGGCCTTAATTAGTAGGCCTTTCCAATGCCTGCTTTTCAAATTTCAGCACAAAATCAGTTTCACTACTACTTGATTTTACTTTTTTCAGTTTGTTTTTTGCTTCAATGGCTCTTGTCTTAGCAGATTTTTTCATTTTAGACATCTTTATTTTTTAAAAACAAAGCAAAAACAGAATAATTAAACAAATAAAAGAGTATCAAACAATTTACCTTTAGACCAAGTTGATTCCTTGATATAAACTTTTTTGAAAGAGTATTGCGATAGATAAACACTGAAACCAAAATACAGAAAAATAATTTCTTTCTTCCCCCCCAAAAAAATAGAAAATGAACATGTTGCAAAAGTAATTCACTAATAAGAATTTTCAGAGAATGTGGACGAAATGGAAGCACATGTAAAAGGAATGAAAGCAAACTATTCAAGCGTGCTTTTTTACCTTAAATAACACGGCACATGTATAAAAATGCCATCTATTGGCTTAAGAATTAAGTCTTTATTATATTTTATTTAACCACTTGACTGATTTCTATCGAAAACTATACAATTCATCTCATATATACAAATAAGTTATTCTGAAAATTTCATGAATTTTGGTTGCTTAATTCTTTATCTATTGCATCAGGCAGGGATTTCTGAAATTAAGGAAAAATTTGAATTAATTTCATATTTGCATTTAACACTAGACATACTGTAAATAATCTTTTATAAATCACAATAAATTTGGAGTATTTTGATAATTAATTAAGTGACACTTCTGATATTAAAAGTGTCAATTAATCTTGTTTTTCTTCTTTAGTTAAAATTAGTCTAATTAGTTGCTACATAAATCTTCATACTTATATATTATTTAGCCAAATTTGATTTTCATCCAATCCAAAAACTGATTTTGATCCAAGATGATAATCCAGATATGGCTGACTTCTAGAATACTAATTATTTGCTTTATTAGTGCCTTTGTATAGTTTAGTGCAGAGGTTCTCAGAAAACATTTTTTCATGATCATACCTGTGCTTTTCTGCATTTACAATATTACAAGATTAAAAAAAAAAATGAATGAAATGAGTAATCCATGTAAAATAAAATTAAATTGAAAACTATCCAAAATGGTGAATATTTTGACAATAGTAAGCAAAATGTTACAAAATTGACCTCCTGGATTGAAGAATTGCACCAAACTGACTTGGTGACTGCACAAAATTTCCTCAGTAACCATATTCAATAATCCCTCCTGACAGCCATCTGATCTTCACTTCGAGAACTATTAATTTAGATATAATCATACTGGTTACTAATGGCAATGACTGGAAATGACTCATCATCCATGGCCTATAAACTCTCACTATATGGCACTCAGCCAGACACCACTTGACCCTGGCACAATGTATACATATAAATATAAACATCTGTAAGCCTGATAGTTATATTAAAATCAAATGATTGCCAAATTTTGCTTAGAAATGGCACCTAACTTCTAGGCAAAATTACTTAGCATTTAATTATTAATAGTAGCAGTAATATAGCCTGTTCTAATCTGGCAATCATTTGGCTTTAATATAACTATCAAGTTTACAGATGTTTATATTTGAAACTGGTCATATGAAGTCCACATTTAGCTGTACCAAGAAGCCTTCAAAAAGTGAATAATGTTGGTCCACATGATATAGTACTCTAGCACAAATATGGTAATTAAAATTAAGTGTCATCTTCAAAAGTATAAATGATTGTCACATGAAGATAAAAAATAATATTGTAATATTCAAAATATATATATAAAGCAGACATTTTTCCGTTATATTAACCTGAGTCATATTTAAGATATATTGCACTTCCATAAATGTAAGTAAACAAAGATTAAGTGCTTTCAATTGAGCAATGTTCATCTTTAGGAATTCTATATAAAAGAAAAAATGTGATAAGTATTTTTACATGAAACATTAAGATGCCGCCTTTCTGAATACACATGTACAGTACATATATATAGTATTTAGGTATGTATTGATGTCAAATTTCAAAACACATTTAGCTCTCCAAGAATGCTAATTGCAACATCAATTAAAAACTGTTTAAAACTTTCCAATTTATTTTAAACAAATGTTAAAAAAATTGCATTTATTAGACTAAAGAAAGTACTAACCATTATCATTTTTTAGCTGGTTTATTTTAGGAACATTTATCTGATACATAAATTCTTTATTACTTGGTAGGGACTTCACTTTTAAAGAATAATGATGACAACCACCTAAATCCAACATTTTGTAGCATTTATATGAAAAAGAAAACTGAAAAGATTTTAAAAAAATAAAATGAATGCTTTATTATTTTATATTAAAATTAATTTTTTTAAATTTTATAACTAAATNAATGAGTAAATAAAAAATAAACTATATAGATTTCAGAGTTAGTGTTATGAAAGCTTAATCAAGTATTAGGACCTCAGAACTGTAATTTTTCATGGATCATAATTTAGCATGTTGAGCATATAAGCATCAATTTAGTTATTCTTGAGTTTTAACTAGACATAGTACATAATATGAAAAAAATACATTTATAGTGAATTTACAGTAAGATATATACACAAACATAATATATCATCACTCTAAGACTATAAATGACTAATGCATTTTTGATTTTTATTTATGTGAAATGTGCAGATCATAGATTGGGAACCAATGCTCTAGAACAGAGGTGGCAAACCTAGGGCATGCATGGCCAAAGTGGCATGTAACATATCATAGGATTTCGATTTATCATATGGCTTTTTAAATCACCCTTTCTGTTTATCATGCAATCCTTCTTTTTCAATCAGCTTTTTTACATTTATTCTAATTAAATTACATTCGTTTAATTTATTTAAATATCGTTATTTTAACCCTTAACTGGTTTCATGGGGGCCGCGTGGCCCCACGCGTCATATTTTTACGATTTTCTAAAAATTTACGAGACTCTTAGCGAGTGCCAAATGTTCAGCCCTGTAGCACTTACAAGGATGGAGCTATGTACCTTCTGGGGGCCGCGCAGCCCCCACGATACCAGTTATGTTGGTTTTTTGTGGAAATGTGTTTTTATGTTTTTTTTTTATTTTTACAATTATTTTGCAAAGATATCTCAATCTTGCATCAAATATTCAAAATGACTACCAAAGAATCATTTGAACTGCTAATAGATGATAATATTATACAAATTGCTAGATCAAGCTGAAATCTCCTGAAAAGAGTATGTTGTCATTTTGTGCTGGAAAAAAGATGGTAAATATGCTACTAAGTGCAACAGTTGTTTGAAATTTATTTGCAAAGTGCATAGTACTACAAAAATACTATGTGATAACTCTCAAGACTGAACTACGTAATTNCTGAATACACATGTACAGTACATATATATAGTATTTAGGTATGTATTGATGTCAAATTTCAAAACACATTTAGCTCTCCAAGAATGCTAATTGCAACATCAATTAAAAACTGTTTAAAACTTTCCAATTTATTTTAAACAAATGTTAAAAAATTGCATTTATTAGACTAAAGAAAGTACTAACCATTATCATTTTTTAGCTGGTTTATTTTAGGAACATTTATCTGATACATAAATTCTTTATTACTTGGTAGGGACTTCACTTTTAAAGAATAATGATGACAACCACCTAAATCCAACATTTTGTAGCATTTATATGAAAAAGAAAACTGAAAAGATTTTAAAAAAATAAAATGAATGCTTTATTATTTTATATTAAAATTAATTTTTTTTTAATTTTATAACTAAATAACAGCTCCAAAAACAGAGCCAAAGAACAAATAAACTGCTAGATTAAAAACATCCTAACAGTATTTAATGATAATTGTATGTCAAATATAGGTATCCCTCATACAACATGATATTTCTACATAATTTGAAAACTAGGGACCCCATACAACATGACTTCCAGTTTTGGAAATTCTTCATACAAAATTTCACAATTTTTAAGTGTAAACTTCACTATTCTATATTTTTTCTAATTCAAGTAAGTATGCATGTTATCTCAAACTTGCTCATTAATTTTAAAATATTAAAATTTTCTAATTATTTTGTGCTTTTCATCATGTTTACTTTAATGAAATCAGTTTTCCTACTTGTCTTAGTTTTCCTATCAACCGAGTGTCATTGTTGTTGCTTTCAGATTTTAGCCTTTAAGACCCATTGTGTTTTGTTTTTATAGATTATTCTTCATATTTAGTAAAGTTTGTTTAAGCATTTTTAGATAAGTGCTATTAAACTTTTTTTAAACTGTAGGTAAGCAATCATTTGTAAAATGATGTACAAAATATGGCAGTATCTCGTTACTCAAACAATTCAGCATTCGAACACAAATTTTAGGAAGTAGTCACTCGATACTCGACTGAACAAACGTGACCTGCTAGTACAAATTTTCGGTTAATAACATATTTTTATTTTGTCATCCATAAGAAATTTTTTATGATAAAAGTAAAAAATATGAAAAATATTGCTGATACTTCTGATCAAGATCAACAAAAAAAATGAGATGGCGACAATACTTTATAAAAAGAAAACACCCTCGTTTAACTAAAATTAATTAATGTTAACAGTACTTTTAATTATGCTTGTTAGTTAATTTATTAAACATATTACTCTTAAAGAACAGTATACTTTTTCTGATGTTTGGAATATAACCATATGTTTTGCATTAGTCCTTTTTTTCATATAGCATGGATTCACATAACATGGCACGTTTTCAGAATGTATCTACCATGTTACACGAAGAATACCTGTACTTTTATCATCACATGAAAATAGTAAGTACAATAGAATATTTTGAAAATATTCTGAAAGTTATTTAAAATAAGTTTTCAAATATCTTTCAGAATATTACAAACAAGAAAGCATTTTTCAGAAATAAATTTTCTAATAGCTATCTATCAATTTGAGAGAGAGATTCAAAAACAAATGATCAAAATATCTTTCAGATATCCATGTAAATTTTTAAAATTTGATTTGTACAATAAATATAAAGTATTAATAATTCCTCATAAATAATTTAGGAAAATAATCAAATTGAAATTGTTATCCAGTTCCATTCTATTTAATACAGTGTTACCTCATACTTTCAATGACTAACTTCAAATGTTCCAGAGTTTGAATGCTAAATTTGAGAGAAATTTGACCTGGAGTTTGAATGATACTTCTACATTCAAACTACATTTGAACATGCTTTCTACGTTCGCTGTGCATGAAGTGAAAAAATGTGCTTGCTATGTAAATGCTATTTGTTGTACTTCCAAGTCATCTCTCACATCTCAAATTCTATTATTCCAATTTCAAATTGAGATGAATCATGCAATATGGCAACTATTGCCTGATTCATGGCAAAAATTATTATATGTGACCATGGTTGATCTGGCAAAATGGTTAACCTGGCAAGGTTTTGGAACCAAGGGTGTCAGAAATTTGGTGTCAATCTGCATTTCCAAAATTCCAGCATGAAAATTATCTTAATTATTCTAGAAGTTATAAAATTAAAAATTTTTCTCAGTAATATTACATAGAAGAGCCAGACAAAAATGTTTGCTTTTAAATAAGAAATTAAATTTACCAGTATTAACAATTGTGTGAAACAGTATAATAATAAAATTATGAAAAAAAATGAAAATAACAAAGTGATGATACAAATGAAATGGTCAATACAGATAAATGATAATCAAAATTTCAATGTAAACTATATAAAATGATAATCAATTTTTAATGTACAGTACTTAGTTTTATTTATTTTTGAATCATTAGTCTTTTTAAAATAAATTTGGTTCAACAGCACAAATTATAATCAGTTTAACTTCTTGTTCATAAAAATAAAAACTAAACAAATGTACTGTATATACAAATAAATCATTTATAAAATATAGATCTTTTATTTTACTATTATAAACCTTTCAACATGTTGAACACCAAATTTCCAATTTTGGTCATTTTATCTCTTAATACAGAGCCAAAGTGATCACCCATGGGCATTTTTATTGTTGGTTTTAGTGCTGCATGCAAACCATATATACATTTCTCATGTGAGATAATACACAGCCTCAAAATTTTGTTTTTATTTAATCTTTGAAATGATTGAAAGATCCTAATTAATAATTTTATCATATACTAAAAATATGTTTTATGTTAAATTTAAAAACATACTGGTGTTTTTATTGGCAAAGAAGAATTCCGAAAATCAAAAATGCGACAGCTGTTGAAGGTTCCACACATTTCTGATAGAGTCCACCAAAATCCGGTAATATCTGAAATTAAAAATAATACAAATTTAAAATTATTTTATAAATAAATATAATTTTTATAAATGTTTTTATATGATAATTATTATGCATGTATTGGTACAGTAATTTCTTCATAGATCCCACATATATCCTGAAATTTGTTACCCACATGCAAATATACAGTAATTTTGTTATATATTACTTATGTACAATAAACACATTGAATTTTAATTTACATTAATAATAATTCATAATATATGATTTCAGTATGTTATATTAATGACAGAACAATATTGCAAAGTTAGTATGATAATATTTATGCATTAGGCACTATGCTACACACTACAATGGACAATTATAACAATATTTTCATAAACTATTGTACTATATACTATACTACAGTACATAAATGTACTATACTATATGTAAATACTAACTATTCAAATTTCCAAAATGGGCTACATTTCCTGTTTTATCATTCAACTCATATTTTATACTATTTTTAAATTAATATAAAGATTTTTTTATCATTTGTATTATTAATTATTATTTCAAATTTAAATATAAAATTTATT